ATGTTGGTATGAGTAATAACGAAAACTTTACATGTCACATGTCCTAGTCAGATCCACGGGAGACAAATGGAAATTGTATATTTCTCGTGTCTTCGTAATTTACAAATAATTTATTATAGGGTTTATACCCAAAAATATCCATACCTTTTATGTTGTGGACAAAAATAGCCATGTCTATTTGAAATACAATAAAATAGCCAAAACTTTTAAAATTATGGACAAGTAAAGCCATCAGTTAAGTTTTCTGTTAGTTTGCTTATGTGGCTAGCAAATCCGTCCAGATAGGATCCATGTAAGCAAGAAAATAAAAAGAAAAATTCAATTATTTATGATTTTCTACAAAATTTAGAAAATATTTTTTTCGGTAATTTGAAGTTACCATTAAGTACACTCTTTGTCAAATCAGCAAAAGAGTCTCGAAAAAAAAAGAGTCTCGAAAATACAGAGGTCCAAACGCCCACACCTTCTTATAGAAATCCAAAAAGGAAAAAGAAAGAAACAGCAAGACACCTAGATCACATTTCTATAACTAGGAATCCTCATAATCTCATCGTGGAAGACAGTATTACCACAACCATACAATCGGATCTCCTCTCTTAATTCATCAGCCAGGACTTCCGGCGATCAGGGAATATCCCCAAAACAACGGCGACATCTCTCTTTTCATATAAAAATTAGACTCCAACACGAAAGAGCATTCAATCAGATCAGCACTACTCCCCTTCAAAGCTTCCGCAGAACAATCCCAAGCATAACACTCCACACCAGCGGGAGAGAAACTGCAGAGAAATGCAGCAGCAAAGGCACACGTATAAGAACATTCACAAAAAAAAGGTGTTGTCTCGGTTCTGCAGAAACATTACATAGAGGGCATGTATTATCAGTGATCACCCCCCAATCCTTTAGGGCTCGTTTGTTTCATGGATTTAAAAATGAGGGTTTTGTAATTTAAAAACCCAAGGATTTATCAAGGATTTGAGGCATCATGGATTTATAACAATCCTTTGTTTGTTGGGATGTTTTTATCATGGATTTAAAGGTGTGGGATTTACTACTTGAAGTCAAAAATTACATTACTGCCCTTTTCTATATGTTTGACATGTTTATGATATGTACACAAAACAAGGACAAAACTTCAACATTACCTTACTATCATTTTCTATATGTTTGACATGTTTATGATATGTACACAAAACAAGGACAATACATACTAATAAGCATAATGTTGCCACATGGACAATAATAATAAACGAGAAAATTCCGTTTTAACTTTTAACGTAACATAATCAATTACCAATTCCTTGTCCTCCTTTTCAAAAGTAACATATAACAACATATATTAGAATCAGGAGAACAAAGAATTACACGTTCCATGAAAAGGTTAAAGAAAACTAGAACACAAGAAATGATATAAAAAATCTAACTTATGTTTGCACACTAATTGAACGTTTATATTATTCATTTATTGTTAATTATAATGTATAATAGTTAAATTTGAGGGCAACCTTGGAATATTAAAAGTGCATGAGGGTATATGGGTAAAATCTCATCAAGGATTTATGTCATATTCCAAATCCCACATCAACATGTGGGATTTATAAGTCCGTGGGGTCCACGGATTTGGACCGTTAAAATCTGTGGGTCCCACGGATTTGGTCTCCAAAAAAGGTGCAAGCAAACAACGGATTGTACCTAAATCCTTGATAGTTGGTTTTTTGGTGCCAAATCCATGTACCAAATCCTTGAAGCAAACGACCCCTTAGTTTATCACGAGTGGCAATCCTATCAAGAATGATTAACCAGGTGATAAAGCGATTACGTGGAAGAATGAACTTTCCCCATATAATACGCTATCATGGTTGCTCAGGTTTTTTTTATTCGAATAGTATCCCAGATTAAAGAGACAGAGAACTTAATCATCTTCCTCCCCAGCCAAGACACATAACCATCAATATCCACATTCATTCGAAACTAGGGCCAAGGGCGAATCTTCAGTAGTTGTCACCAAATCCAAGAAAATTTGGCAACTTAAGCAAACTAACAGAAAATTTAACGGATGGTTGTACTTGTCCACAATTTCAAAAGTTTTGGCTATTTTATTGTATTTCAAATAGATATGGCTATTTTTGTCCACAACTTAAAAGGTTTTGCTATTTTTGGGTATTAATCCTCATTATAAATATTAGCCAACTTGTCTGATGATTAGTCAAATAATTGCTTTCACGGGTTAACCACAACACAACTGCATCGACCTATTATTCACCCAACCCAAAAAGAATGTAAATGAATAACGGGTCATAATTATATCAACTCGTTAGTAAGCGAATGAGTTAACTTGAAGCCGATATTCACCCAATTCCCAACCTACCCAATCCAATCCAACATATCAGTTGAGTGAACAAGGGAAATAGCACTTGCAAAGCTCTTTTGTCGAGTGCACGATGATGACTGGACTAGAGAAAGATGCATATGCTAATAGGGGTGTTCAAATTGTTACCATGGTAATTACCAAATCAAACAAGCCAAAATTCTATTAACCATGGAATACAATATCATAACCAAACCGTCCAAATTAATATAACAACCAAATTAACCAAACTAAAGTTTAATCGGTTTGGTTAATTGGTTAACCAAATTAACCAATATAACATCACATTACCATTAAGTAAAAAAATTTCCGATTAATATATCAATTCACAATTTTTATGATGAATAAAACATTACATTGAACACATACAAAAATACATGCAATTATTTTACAGTCAATAGAAGTATTCACCTAACAAAAATATATATCAATAGTATGGGTAATTAGTTGATGTGATTGTGTGAATTGAATTAGTCTCTTAGCAATTATCATAGGCTGAAAAAGGCATTTCTTTCAAGTTTTCATCTAATATATTGTAAGAGTTTTTATCTAAATTGGCGTTCATATATGATGGTCTACACTCACATTTAGGGCTGGAAGTTTGGTACCGGTATTTGGGATATACCGAATACCGTACCGAATTTGTCTATATTTGGTATTATCGAATACACGTATTATTTTGTCGGATTAGGATTGGGATTGAGTTTCAATTGTTATTCGGTATTAGGGATTACGCGACTGAGATCGGTATATACCGAAATACCGATCAATACCGAAATATAAGCTAGTGTGTATTTTATCCTCTCAACTAGACTCTCTCATTCACTACTATGCGACCCTCAACCACCAAGAGTGTCATTTAATTATACATAGATCATTACATCACTATTTCACACTAGTATTAGTCGTCTCGCAACCTCAAATTCATCAAATTAAAGATTACCAATTACAAAAACTTGAGATGTTAGCTCTAGACAACTTAAGACTCTTTGCTTAGTCTCTTTGCCCTATATCAAACAATAAAATATGATTTATATATTTAATTATTAATGGCAAACGTAATTAATTTTGTATTTGATAATACCGATTGGGATACCGAGGTACCGATTGGGATACCACAATATTTAGGGAGTGGGATTGAGATACCGAAATTATTTAGGGATTGGGATTGATTTCAGGGTGTAATTTGGTATTCGTGATTTCAATATTTGGTATTGGGATACCGATACAAGACCGATTTCCACCCCTACTCACAAATACGAACATACAGTCTATGAACAATATTGAGCTTTATTGTTAATGAGCCTAAAAGGAAGGAATGTTTGGTTCCTAAGTGGTTATGTCAAATATTAAGTATGTGTTTATAAATATATATTAGGTATATCGAGAATTACTTAACTAGTTAATTTGGTTTGAAGGGTTAGAAGTGTCTGAAACCAAACCATCTAAACCAAACAAGCTAAAAATTTTAACCAAACCAATTATCCAAATTAACCAAATCATATTAGCCAAATTCTACCTTTAAAATAATTATCACGGTAATCACACCGTTTGAACACCCTAATTTACCGTTAGGGGTGGGCAACGGGAAACGGGTATTTGGGTATACCCGTACCCGTCCCCTTTTTTTAGGGTTACGGGTACCCAAATACCCGTAATTTTTTGTACGGGATGGGACTTGGGATCAAGCATCGCTACTTTGGGTACCCGCGGGTTACCCGTTAATACCCATTAGTCCAAAATTCTTGCAAGTGATTCTGATGCGCGTTGGTGGCGGCAACACTTCACCTTTATCATCAAATTAATATGCCGGACTCAGAAGAATAACATAACAAGAGAAATGAAGAATTGAAGCAATTGAACTAATTGCCATGTTTACTTCTATTTCCCCTTACCTTGGTAATGGCAGTTCTCCTGATCGATCATAACTGGGTTGGAAATATTGATCATGCATGCACGCAACGAGCATACATTAATTCCTATCACATCTTCTTCATCTGGGTAATTCCCTAGGCTTCCTATGTTATTTATAGAGTAGACATTGATTCTGAGAGAGAGTGGAAAATAATTTTTGATGGAATTTTGGAGCCAAAGAACAAAGGTTCTGTAGCATTTCTTCCACCAATTGACGGGTATTTACTGGTAGTATGGGTACCCGTTATCCGTCCCGTACGGGTAACGGGTACCATATCCCAAACCCGTACGGTTAACGGGTACCCGTTAACCGTACGGGTTTGGGATATAAGATGAAGATTGCTCTTCAAATGGGACTGGGTGCCCATTTCAAATGGGACGGGTATCCCGTCCCGTCCCGTTGCCCACCCCTATTTACCGTGGAGCAGAAATAGTTAAAAAAATGGACCCGTTAACCGTACGGGTTTGGGATATGAGATGAAGATTGCTCTTCAAATGGGACTGGGTGCCCGTTTCAAATGGGACGGGTATCCCGTCCCGTCCCGTTGCCCACCCCTATTTACCGTGGAGCAGAAATAGTTAAAAAAATGGACCGCCAAAACTAAAAATAATCATTATATTTGTCTCTTCCGTGTTAAAATACTGTAATTATTAAATCGAAAACAATCCGTCTCCGAAATCTAAACCGAAATCTTGCCCTTTTCCCTTTCCCTTCCGTCCGTCCGTCCGTCGCCAGCCTAGCTTATGCAAATATCCTCCGCTAATCTGTGATTAAGGCAAGAAATTGATTAGAACAATGACACAGATTTATTTGATAGAGCGAGAAGGAAAGAAAGTAATAAGCAAGTGAGTGAGTGGTCTAGTTAGCGTCCGCGCTTCTTCTCCTCCTCTTCCTATCTATATATAGTGAAAGCCATATCGCCTCTCAAGTCTCACAACCCAAATCTCAGACATCACAGAACTCTTCTTCTTCCCGCTAGCTCGCTCGCCCGCCCTTTCTCCCACACCCCACTTTTCAGTCTCTATCACAGGTAATAATAAAGATTTTAGTTTTAGGTCAATTTGTGTCAGAATTCTGTATCTTTTTGTCGATCGGTTGAGCTTCTCGGTGATCTTTTTGACGGGTTTTTTAAAACCAGCAATGGGTTCTCTTTTCCTTTTTCGAATGTGGGGATTGGATCCTGTGTCTCTTTTTCAATTCCGCCATGCATTCTGCTGCAATTTTCAGTTCTGGTTGGGGTTCTCTGCCTTGCTCTGTCAAATTTTACTGATTCTGGTCCAGGGTCAATGAAACTGTGTGGATTGGTTCAACCAATGGGTGCCTAGGATTTTGTTTTCTTTCTCAATTTTTTTTTTATCTTTATAGTGTGGGTGAGATATGCCTGGTGTGGCGAGGATTCCTTTTCCTCAGGATATTGATATAGCTCTGTTTACGACTGTTTGGTTTTGGGTGTTTTGCTGCTATGTGAGTTGGAGATATGAATCAAGTGGCTTCTAACCTTTCCTTTTGTTCAGTCACTATGGGGAGCAACGATGGAACCGGCTATGGGGCATACACATATGAGGCTCTTGAGAGGGAGCCTTACTGGCCATCTGAGAAGCTGAAAATCTCCATCACTGGAGCTGGTGGTTTCATTGCCTCTCACATAGCAAGGCGTTTGAAGAGTGAAGGTCACTACATTATTGCCTCCGACTGGAAGAAGAATGAGCACATGACTGAAGACATGTTCTGTCATGAATTCCATCTTGTGGATCTCAGGGTTATGGATAATTGCTTGAAGGTGACAAATGGTGTTGACCATGTCTTCAACTTGGCTGCTGATATGGGCGGGATGGGATTCATTCAGTCCAATCATTCTGTTATCATGTACAACAATACCATGATCAGCTTTAACATGCTTGAAGCCTCTAGGATCAATGGTGTTAAGAGGTTAGGTCTCGTTTTGCTTAGTTTGGTTACAGCCTCACTATAGGTTGATATTCCTTAGGCGGGGTTTGAAATTTGGGATGATTATTCTGGTTTGTGCAGGTTCTTTTATGCCTCTAGTGCTTGTATTTATCCTGAGTTTAAGCAGCTGGAGACAAATGTGAGCTTGAAGGAATCTGATGCCTGGCCTGCAGAGGTTGGTTTACTTTTAGTGGTTTAATTTAATGCAGGTATGAAACCGTTTGACTTCACGTTTGGTTGTGAAATCATGAAATTCTTTTTCAAATTTTGTTCTTCAGCCTCAAGATGCTTATGGCTTGGAGAAGCTCGCAACAGAGGAGCTGTGCAAGCACTACACTAAGGACTTTGGGATTGAATGTCGGGTTGGAAGATTCCACAACATTTATGGTCCTTTTGGAACATGGAAAGGTGAGGCATGGAAACGGCAATAGTTGTAACTTAATCATCTGCTTCTAGCTTTTCACTAATACGTGGATTTGATTGTCTCTGATAATAGGTGGCAGGGAAAAGGCACCAGCTGCCTTCTGCAGAAAGGCGCTTACAGCTACTGATAAGTTCGAGATGTGGGGAGATGGTCTCCAAACACGATCCTTCACCTTCATTGATGAATGTGTGGAGGGTGTGCTCAGGTAAATACCCAAAATCTCTTTTAGGTATTCGAGAAGGTGAAATTTGCATTAGCATGCCAATGAACAAATGTTTTGTTTTATTTTTGTCAACACTTTTGATGTATTTGAATACAATTTGAAATTGCCTCTGAACAATGAGGGACCTGCAATATCTGTTAACATGAACTCTTTTAACGCCTTAGGTTGACCAAGTCTGACTTCCGGGAGCCAGTGAACATTGGGAGTGATGAGATGGTGAGCATGAATGAGATGGCCGAGATTGTTCTTGGTTTTGGGGACAGGAAGCTCCCTATCCATCACATCCCAGGTCCAGAAGGTGTTCGTGGTCGTAATTCTGACAACACATTGATCAAGGAAAAGCTTGGCTGGGCTCCAACAATGAGGCTGAAGGTACATGATGACTACTACTATGACTATCCTGAATTGGAGTTCCTTTTTGAAGTCTTAATAACTTCTTTTTTTCTATGGTCGTAACTCTTGACTGTTGTGCATTGTAGGATGGCCTGAGATTCACCTACTCGTGGATCAAGGAACAGATTGAGAAAGAGAAGGCTCAGGGTATCGACTTGGCCGTCTATGGATCATCCAAAGTGGTTGGAACTCAAGCTCCGGTTCAGTTGGGCTCTCTCCGTGCTGCTGATGGCAAGGAATGAAGCCCAGTTCTAAAAGCTTGAGTTGAAGTTGCTCTTTTGGAAGGATTTGGCTTATAGGTCTTGTGGTAGAAAGTTGGGATAGACTTGTGGAATGGTAGGATGGGGAGAGGTTGCTTTGGAATAACTGGCAAATTAGATTGAATTATAATGTTATGTCCATTTTAATTTTCAGTCATGTTGGTATTTGTTTAGGGGCAGGGGTGGTTTTGCTGCTTACTGTATCATCCATCATCCTGTGTAGGCTTTCCATACCAGATATATGCAGTGGTAATGTATTAGAGTGGCCACCGTTTAGCATTTTGATTATCTGATAAACTTATAATCTTGATATCCTTGTTTTCTTTGAATCAAATTTTTTGGGCCTTGTGTTTTCTTCTTTCAAGATTGGCTGCTGTTTGTATGGAGGAGTTCTGTTGTTTGTGATCATGATAACTGTCAATGCTTCCAAAGGTGATGATATAAAGCGCACTTGGTCTGCAACCTGTTCGTGGTTGGTGCCAAATTGCTGCTGTCTGTGTTGGAGACTTGGAGCTCTTTACAGTTTACAGTGAAATTGGGATGGTCCAAAAGAAAGTGTCCCGCCTTTTGCAAAAGGCCAAAAATTGATGTAAAGGGAAACTAAAAGGGAAAAGGAACCACTGTCCAAAAACAAAACAACCGATTTTTTCCCTTAGATTTGCAAGGGGCCATTTTGTTTTAATTCCTTTCTTCAACTTTATGGATATTCCATTGTTTGTAGATATCCGAAGCCAAGGGATCAGATCTTCCATAGTTCCTCCTGTTGATTTTTTTTTTAATAAATTCTTCTCATTAACAAAGTAAAAGCAAGAGTCTGATACAACGAAGGGGCAATAAACATCCCAGAAAAACAAAAACAAAAAACGAGAGGATAGACCCCTCTCATTTCATCACACCACTACAACCCCACTAATCAATCTTTAAAGACCCATTTCTAACACCTGCATATCACGCTGCACATTACCATTAAACACACTCATAAATTGCAAATACTGCAGAATCGTTTTGCCCAACATTTCTGCACTTCGACCAGCATCCCCATGAACCCGTTTGCACCGTTCTTTCCAGATAATTGCAGCACATAAGCACCAAATCCATCCCACCATTCTCCTTGCAGCTGTGTTTTTACGGCTGAGCAGACAAGCTGCTGATAAAGTGCTAGTCCAATCACCCCTGCAAAACCAGTCCTCACAATGGAGAAACACCAGTAGCTCATTCGAGAAAGAACATTTAAAAATTAGATGTTCCCTCGATTCAGACAGGTTGCAACATAAAACACAGGTACTATCAATTTGCTTACCCCATTTTATTAGTTTATCCTTCGTAACAATACTATCTTGGAGAATTAACTAATCTAAGAAACTAGGTCTAGGTAGAAAACCCTTTCCCCAGATCAGCTTATGCCAATCCACCTTTGGCCACCTCATCCGAATAGAATCCCACACTAAACCAACCGCATATCGTTGCATAGGAGAGCCATCCCAGCATAACGAATTACCCTGTCCTGAGAAGTGCCTTTGAACATCATATTGAACTTTAAGAATACGTCTCCAAGTCCAAGAGCTACTAGATGTGGACCTTATTGTCCAAATACTACCTGTTTTGATCCAGGCCACCCATATAGTCCCACTTTGCATAAGCAGCAGCCAAATCATCCTAGTAGTACATGCCTGATTCCAGGAAAACAATTCCTTAAGCCCCACTCCTCCTTCATTACGAGGCCTTGCTAGTCTGTCCCAGCTAACTTTAGCTTTCCCCTCATCACCACCATGCCATAAGAAGTTAGAACACACCTTATGTACCGGCTTAACCACCTTTTTGGGTAGGAAAAACACTTGCATCCAGTACTGCAACACTCCCATAAAAACAGATGATATAAGTTGTAACCGGCCTGCATATCTAAGTTTTTTGACTTTCCAGCTTTTAATTTTCTGAGTGATTTTGTCCACCAACCTAGCACAATCAGCAGAGGAGAGCTTGCCAGAAATGAGAGAGAGCCCCAAATAACGGACTGGAAGCTTACTCTCTTGAAAACCAGAAACCTCAAGGGCTTGGCGCTTGAAATCAACCGAACACCCCCCAAAATAAACCTCACACTTTCGAGGGTTGCACTGAAGTCCAAACTACTCATAAAACTCATGGAGAAGTTTATGCACACTAGCAATAGCCCTTCCAGACCCCTCAGTAAATATTAAAAGATCATCAGCAAAGCTAAGGTGTGTTAACTGAACGCTCTTACACTGTGGATGGTAGGGGATTAAACCAGAATGAGCAGCAGCATTAAGAACAACAGTCAAACCCTCCATGGCAATGGTAAACAGATAAGGTGACAAATGATCCCCCTGTCTAACCCCACGTTTAGCCCCAAAATAACCACATAATCCACTATTTACACATATGCTAAACCGAGCTATTTTTACACACAACGATATCCATCTAATGAAACTTCCTGGGAACCCCATAACAGACATCATAAGAATAGATATTCCAATTTACCGAGTCAAATGCCTTCACCAAATCAACTTTTATAGCACAACGCGATGACAACTGTCTTTTATGATATCCACTAACCAATTCTTGGGCCATAAGAATATTATCAACAATTCTCCTACCCTTAATAAAAGCATACTGATTACCACTAATAACCGAAGGGAGGACCTTTCTCAAGCGGTTTGCCAGTAATTTAGCGATGATCTTATAAAGCAAATTAATGCAAGAAATAGGCCTGAAATCCTTAAGAGCACAAGATGAAGGAACTTTAGGCGGAAGAGTAATAGCAGCAGAATTTACACTATCTGGAAGTCGTCCTGAATGAAAGAAATCCAGCACAGCTGCTGTGACATCCTCTCCAATAATAGACCATGTTCTCCTGTAAAATCCAGCTGAAAAACCATATGGCCCGAGGGCTTTATGAGGATCCATGTTTTTAACTACATATAACACATCCTCAGCAGTAAAGGGAAGGCATAAAAAGTCTCTTTCATCATCAGATAACCGCTTCTGACTTGTGAATCTACCTTGCCAAAGGATAAAGAATAAAAACGAACTACCTCTGTTGCAATCTGCTCACTGTCAAACAATTCCTCACCTGATTCAGTCACCAACTTCCTTATTGCTTTCTTGGCATTTCAGATTTTCACAACCAGATGAAAGAAATTAGTACTACATTCCCCCAGAGCAAGCCAGTCAATATGTGATTTCTGTTTATACATGCTTTCCTCGGCCTTCTTTAATTCAATCAGCCTAGCTTCCAGAGTAGCAACCTCCTTAAAAACTTGTTCCCCAGGCTCATCCAAGGCACTAATGTGCACCAAATTAAACTAATTTTCCATAGCCTTCACCTGACCACTCAAATCCCCATATACTTCTTTATTAAATTTCTTTAACAACTCCTCCTGTGCTATTAAGTTGTTCTTCTGGATATTTTTTTCTAACTACACACGTGTTTATTAAAATTTCCCAAAATACAATAATTTTTTAAAATTCGCAAACTGCACATGCTTTGTGATACATTGCTTCATCAAAAGGGATAAGTGTCTGATACAAAAATATCAAACATCAATAACTTTATACTTGGTTATCAAATCATGCAAAAAAAAATTGTTTGCATAAATTTTCGAGATTTTCGCAACTAAAAGAAATAAAAAATAGTATGTTCGATTTTCGTCTCCAAATAAGGCCTAAATCCGCCATTGAAGGACCACAACTATCGTTGACGTGGACCACTACGTATTCACCGCCATAAAAGAACACGGTGAAAAAGCTGCACACGGATCGCTGATGTGGGACACAATGAAGCGTCGGATCTGGGAGGAAAACCTAAATCCGCGCCTCACCGCTTCTGATGACCGCGGTTAACGAACTGGGCGCCTCACCACATTTTTCCCGGCCATTCTCCCATTACAGATAACAAGTTTGAAGGCAATTATAACCACTTTTATAAATAACCTAATAGGTTGGTAGAAGTCAAAGGTCTTTCAACTTACAGCTAAAATGAGTCACATCTCTTAACAAGATAGATACCATGTGTTTAACCGAATAAATGAGGGTAATTAGAATTCGAACAAAAGACCTCTCGGTCACAGAAGGCTCTGATATCATGTCAAGTACAAATTGCTACTCGAGTTGTTGGAAAGAATTCAATTATACATCTACTCAAAAGAAAGTCACTATCCTTCCTAAAAAAACAAAGCCACCATATATGAGCTTGAAGTTTGCAAATATCCGGACATTATATATTTAACATAACATATGAGAGTAATCGGAATTCAAATAATAGGCCTCTCGATTAGAGAAAACTCTAATATCATATAAAAACAAATTGATTTCAATAACTCAAATTATTTAATAATATTTATTTATTTATCATATACCATTTACTCATATTATTCTCGCTCATGGTCAGCCTGTACTAAGATCTGTGTATATTCCGCTTACTTGCATAATTGAGTTTATCAGAATATTTATGATGATTTCTTCCGCACCTCGACCCAGAGATTCATCGGATTGGAAAAACCATGTCAGATTTTTTTTGATAAAGCTATAACGAAACAACCAACTTACTTGCGTGTTAGTTGTTTAATCACAGTTCGTACAGTTAGTTGCCATCATCATCATTTGTCCAATAAGATAACAATAATTTTGGTTGGCGAAAAGGGCAGGCCAGTGGGGATTCGACTCAAACCAGTGGTTCAAAAGGATCTGGATAGTGGGTGGATTGGGTTGGCGTCTGACGTGGGTGCTACGGCCCAAGTTTGGAACCTTCATAAGCTAAGGGGCTAATCTTCACTCACAAGTGTGTTACGTGGTTTTCTCTAGAGGAAATTTCTTCACAACTTACGTCGTAATGATCGAACGATAAACATAAGAAAAATACTTAAAATGAAGAGAAATGTGACGAAGGAAATAAACTAAAAACTACTAATGAATTCCAATCTTCAAAGTGATATTAAACTGGAGCTTGAGTACATATTTATAGGTGAGGAAAACCCATAATCTCAATCCTTCTTTACCAAGGCCAGCGGGCCCCTTTTCATTTTTCCTACCCAAAACATAAAACTTATCGCACAAGAAAATAATAAATAAATCCTAAACAAATACTAGTAATTAAATCCAAATCCTACTTGAACCATGAAACAATATTAAAGACTAACAATATAAAATACTCTAATAGAAAGATACGCTAGTCTAAAAAATGACCCTATTATCCTGACAAAACAATATAGAGATTCCTGCCCGCAGCGCATGTAATTTCTGTTTTCCTGCGCTCTGCGCAGTTCACGGGAGGCCAAATTGGTAAATGGCTCCGTTCCATTGAGACGGGCCGCGTAAAAATCAAAGCCCAATGCGAACTTAAAATGGCTCCGTTCCATTGAGATGGGCCGTGTAGAAATCAAAGCCCAATGCCATACGACACCATTTAAGTTATGAAAATTTGTGCGCATGTGTCACATACTACA